AAAACTTACAAGAAACCCAACAAGCAACAGAAAGATTTCCAACCCAAGTGATCAAAGCAATGGAGCAATGCAAACCTTAACACTCTCTTTAGGTAAAGAAGAATATTGAAATAGGTACCAGCATGTGGAAATATGTGTGCATTTGAATTCAGAAACAGGAGTCTCGAGGCTTGCTGAATGTGGTGGATGTTTGTCATCCTAATACTACAGGTTCCTCTTTGGAGACTGGCATCCATTTTCTACTTTGCCAAGTTCAAGCCACCCCCTTCCCGGAAATGGATTGCCTTCAGTCTCTGGTTATTTCATGGGTACAAATGTGTGAGGCCTTTGCCTTAGTTTGGACCAGTTCTAAAAGGCTGCTCTAGCTTTAGAGGTCCCCGAGGGCCTGCTGAGGCCTCTTTTGCAACTACATCACAGCCTAACATTGCTTTCAACTTAATCCTGTTTATCTCACTGCTTACGTATGTGTCTGAGATCTCCTCTTGGTGAATTATCTACACACAAATGTATCTCAAGTCTACTTCCCGGAGTACCTGGCCTACAACGATGCTCGAGAAACTGGAAGTCACGTTTTCTATCTATAGAAACTTGGAAAAGATATATGAATTTATTGCCAGAAGAGATAAATGTCCAGAATCTACAAAGAACTGCAGGGTGTGGTGGTGCATACCTGTTAGCCTGGCACTGAACTGGGGGTGGGGGGTGGGGCATCGACTGGGTGTGATCCCCACTCCTGGGAAGGGTGTAGAAATGAATGACTCAGTGAGGTAGTGAGAATAGGTGGGCATGAGTTTCTCTTTTTCATCTTATTTATTGAATGAGTTTTTATTTTGTTTTGTTTTGTTTTGAAATAGAGTTGTGCTTTATTAAAGTTTTTTTTTTTTTTCCCCCGAGACTGGGTTTCTCTGTGTAGCCCTGGCTGTCCTGGAACTCACCCTGTAGACAAGGCTAGCCTGACAGAGATCCACCTGTCTCTGCCTCCTGAGTGCTGGGATTAAAGGAGTGAGCTACCACTACTTGGCTAAGATCCAGTTTCATTATTTTTAGTTAGGTATATGTGTCTGTGTGGGTATGTGCATGTGTGTGGGTGTTCACAGAGGTCGGAGAGGTTGTACAATGGAGGTGAGAGAGTGTGCAGTCAGTCCCCTGCAGCATGAGGAACTGAATTTGGTTCATGGCGCCCATATCTGGTGCCTCTAAGGACACCTGCATTCAAGTGCACATACCTACACACAGACTCACATATACCCACATAGTTTAGAATGCAATAAAATAAAAATCTTTATTAAAAATTAACAAACCATTTTAAAAATTAAATACTTAGAAGAAAAAGAACTCAAGGTAGATTAAAAGGGGTGAGATGAGCTGAATGTAGTGCTTCATGCTTATAATCTACTACACAGGAGACTGAGGCCTAGGCTCAAGTCAACCAACCAACCAACCATCCAACAAACACAAATAAGAGGGTGGGTAGAGCATGTCTAGAGCACAAACCAAATAACCAACACAAGAATAATAACATACCTTTAATTCCAGCACTTGGGAGGCAGGAGCAGGCAGATCTCTATGAATTTGAGGATAGCCTGGTCTGCAGAGCTAGTTCCAGGACAGCCATGGCTACATGAAGAAACCTTGTTTCAAAATAAATAAATAAATAAATAAATAAATAAATAAATAAATAGGAAAGAAAAGAAGAAAGAAAGAAGAAAGGAAGGAAGGAAGGAAGGAAGGAAGGAAGGAAGGAAGACTAACTAAAGTGACAGGGTCTCACTGTGTAGCTCAGGCTAGATCCTCCTCAGAATAGCAAAATAGGGAAATTAAGGGAGTATGAGAAACAAAAAGAGCCTGTCATTCCAGAGTCTGGTTGAAATCTCTTGTCAGCTGAGAGTCTAGAATTTCAGCACAGTTCACCAAATTTGCTGTGAAGCTCACCTGCATAGAGACACTATTGAAACTGGGTGGAGGCAGCACATGCTTTTAAATCCCAGCACTTGGAAGACAAGAGATAGGCGGGTGAATCTCTGTGAGTTTGAGGCCAGCCTGGTCTACAGAGTGAGTTCCAGGATAGGCTCCAAAGCTACAGAGAAACCCTATCTCAAAAAACAAAGCAAAAGAAAACAAAAACTTTAATGAAAAGCAATACACTATTGTTTCCAGGTAAGCATGATAAAACAGTGATGAACCATACTTAAGGCCCAAGTAGGTGACCTTGAGTAGTACTCTCTCCCAGATCTGTGTTGAGGAACATTAGTTTAAGATGCGTTACATTTAGTTATGCCATGCAACATTTATTTAATGATGCAAAGATGTGTTGCATTCTTTTTTTTTTTTTTTTTATTGTCATGGAATGTGCATTGGTGTTTGACCTGCATCTATGTCTGTGTGGAGTTGTCAGATCCCCTGGAACTGGAGTTAGTGAGTGCTGAGTCTTCTGGAAGAGCAGCCAGTGATCGTAACCATTGAGCCATCTCCCCAGCCCTGTGTTGCATTCTTTTATATCACATTTGTTTAACTCTGCAAAGCTGTGTTACCTTGCCTGTTTAAAACATCTGTTTGGGCCTGGAGAGATGGCTCAGAGGTTAAGAGCACTGGCTGCTCTTTCAGAGGTCTTGAATTCAATTCCCAGCAACCACATGGTGGCTCACAACCATCTATAATGAGATCTGGTGCCTCTTTTCTGGGCAGAACACTGTATACATAATAAATAAATAAACCTTAGAAACGCCTGATTGGTTTAATAAGGAGCTGAACGGTCAATAGCTAGGCAAGAGAGGGATAGGTGGGTCTGGCAGGCAGACAGAATAAATAGAAAAAGAAAACTGCTAGGAGTGAGAAAAGAGGACAGCAAGATGTCAGGGGCCAGCTACACAGTCACACAGTGGGCCATGGAGTAAGAAGGAAAGTAAAATATATAGAATAAAGAGAGGTAGAAAACCCAGAGGAAAAACATGGTTAAAGGGAAACAGGATAATTTAAATTTTAAAAGTTGACTAGAAACAAGCCAAACTAAGGCCAGACATTCCTAAGTAAGAATAAATCTCCATGTATTTATTTGGGAGCTGTGTGGCAGGCCCCCAAAGAGTTAAAAAAAAAACAAACAATAAAATTAACTACAGACCTGAACCTGAAATTTTCTGGGAATCTCACACAAATATAATTTTTTAAAACAGCAAAAATGTATCAACTCCCCATGCAAACCATAAAGCTTGAATTTATCCTACTTTATGACCCACCCTATGATCTCATTTAAATTCCTCATTAGGGGCCAGCAGGATAGCTTAGTGAATGAAAATGCTTGCTGTGTAAATATGATGATGAGTTTCTTTCACAGAACCCATGGGGGGAGGAAAGTACAGACTCAAAACCTTAAAGCTGGTTCTGACCTCCCCATGTGTATCCTCTGACATGCATGCACCTGCACACGATTTAAATTCCTTAGCAACCCCTTTGAGATGTTACTCCGGATGCTATCAGGTTCGATATAGCTATTGTAAAGACACTTAAGGGAGACAGACTCTTTGGAGACGTCCACACCCACAATCTTGGGTGTGTGCTCTCCTCTTAAGGTCCTCTGTGTTAACCCTAATGCTTAATCCACATTAAAGTGCTTCTCAATAAACCCCAGTTCTGCATCACATTAACTTCCCTGTAACTCTTTTACTGTGGGACAGCCAAAAATCCAGACTTCACCCAAGTGGCAGCCTCCGAAAAGAACTCAGGTCCTACACTTGGCAGACAGTGAGAAACTGTGTCTCTGGTTCCTGCTTGCCCCAACCTCTAGGATGCTGGGGGTTGTAAGCTTGTGCCACTTTGTCTAGTTGAATTTTTCTCATCACTTCTTGTCCCGAGCGATTGTCTCGCCAGCAAGAACAACACAGGACACTCGGATCCTTCTGCAGTAAAGCTTTTATGCGTCTTGAGAGAGAAAGCATAAGCTTACAAAAGCGGAGACCCCGAGCCAAGAATCCTGTCCCCTAATAAAGGCTGGCAACCGCCGCCTGGGACATGTCACCCTATGATTGGCTGCAGCTCATCGGACCATATGACGCCACGGAATAGGCAGAGATCAAGGAATGGAAAGTTACCCAGCGCCTGTGCGCATTAACTTTACATTTGGTGCCTGCCGGGTGCAGGTGCCATCTTGTAATGGAGAATGCAGGGATGGCTCCCTACAACTTCTGGTTACCCCCCCCCCCATTCCAAGTCTTACTTCTGTTGCTAAAGTTCCATCCCAACAGGAGACATAAACAATAGCTACCCCTCCTCCTCCTGAGGTCCCAAGGACAAACAGAAACACAATCTCAGCAGAGTTCACTCTGGGGAACCAGTAAGTTTATTAGGCTTACTTACAGAGCCTAGATGAGGGGTTACCTAGGGAGTGTGGATGCACCTACCTCAAAAGGCCTTACTAGAACCTTTACCCAGTGGGGATGAGGGCTTTCCCATAGCTGCATTGTCTTCCTATAGCTGCATAGTCTTTCCATAGCTGTATAGTTGTAGAATCCCCAGTCTTCCCCAGCCTATACACCAGCCCTTCCCATTGGCCACATGCAGTTAGGGCAGAGTTGCCTATCACAGGTGTAAAGGATTAGCAGGTGAGGGTCTTATGTCTCTCCCTACTCCTCTATGAAGGGATGTAAATAGTCAATAAGCTCATCTAGGATGTTTAGCAAGTAGGCACAGCTGAACACCCAAAGATGGCAGTTGCTTCACTCAGAGGATAGTCCTGGATAGTCCTGCATAACCTCTCCTTTGGGTGACTGCACTAACATGCTTAAGAATCACATCCTTGGGCTGGAGAGATCGCTCAGAGGTTAAGAGCACCGGCTGTTCTTCCAGAGGTCCTGAGTTCAATTCCCAGCAACCACATAGTGGCTCACAACCACCCATAATGAGATCTGGTGCCCTCTTCTGGTGTGCAGATATACATGGAAGCAGAATGTTGCATACATTAAAAAAAAAAAAATCACATCCTGGTCCTCTTTCCGTCTCCGGCAGCCATGTCTGTGCATCTGCAACGGATGGTCGTTCAGAATTGCTCCAGTTTCCTGATCAAGAGGAATAAACAGACCTTCAGCACCGAACCCAATAATCCGAAGGTCCGCAACTTCTTCCTCTACAACCTCGAGACCGTGGTAGTGGAGCAGGGCGTTGGTGGCTCACGCCTTTAATCACAGCACTCGGGAGGCAGAGGCAGGCAGATCTCTGTAAGTTCGAGGCCAGCCTGGTCTACAAAGAGCTAGTTCCAGGACAGTCTCCAAAGCCACAGAGAAACCCTGTCTCGAAAAAAGCAAAAAAACAAAACAAACAAACAAAAAACAAAAAAATACTATTTTTGTAGGCAATCGGGCAAGGTTTCTTTATTCAGATACATCAGCCAAGAGCAGGCCAAAGCGAGGAGGAGGGAGCCGGGACCAGGGCCAGAAGAAGGGGGAAGAGAGGGTCCATGTGTCCTTTAAGGGTCCTTTAAGAAGCCTTTTCTAGTCACCTTAGACTTCCCCTCACCCTGCCCTCACACAGCTGTCCAGATTACCTGGGGCGGGGCTAGAGTATCTCCCCACAGAAGACTGTGGGAGTGGAGCCCGTGGCCAACTGCAAAGGGGTCGTGGTGGTCATGAAATGCAGATCCTGTCAGCGAAAACCAGCCACCCTCAGCAGTATCGGGCACCTGATCCGGAAGAACAAGTATCGCCTGGATCTGCACATGGAGGCCATCCGCAGGAGCAGTGCCATCCTGCAAAGCCAGAAGCCCGTGGTGGTGAAGAGGAAACACACCCATCCCACCAAGAGCTCCTGAGCCCTACAACCCAGAAGCAATAGAGTTCATTGACTTTTTCGACCAGAAAAAAAAAAAAAATCACATCCTGTAGGAGCACAAAGAAAATGAATGAATGACTGAGTGCATGAATGAATGAAAAACATGAAGGAATACCAAGGCAAGGCTATGACTGGCTTGTGGTTAAGCTGAAGAAATCATGTCTTATTTTGGGAAAGAATAGGGAAGGAAATGTTGTTTGGGGGCATGAAATACTGTGGTAGTGAGGATGTGTGACAATCTAGGAGAGGTTAGTAGAATGTTGATTCTGGTTAGGTCTTTTTCTTAGGCATCATGCCATAACCATGAGGAAGTGACAAAGGGATAACTCTTTGTCATCCTATCATCCCATTCCTCAACAATATAATTCACTTACTTAATATATATTTTATTATATATCTAATCATTTATTTATTTTTGTTTTTCGAGATAGGGTTTCTCTGTGTAGACCTGGCTGTCCTGGAACACTCCCTAAAAACCAGGCTGGCCTCAAAGTCACAGAGATCCGCCTGCCTCTGTCTCCTGAGTGCTTGGATTAAAGGCATGCGCCACCACCACCCAGCATGTGTTTTATTTTTTAAAGATTTATCCATTTTATGTGAGTGTTTTGTCTGTGTGTAGGTATGTGCACCACATACATGCCTGGTGCCCTTGGAGGTCAGAAGAGGGCATCAGATTACCTGGAACTGGAGTCCCACATGGCTGGGAGCCACCAAGTAGATTCTGGGAATCAAATCCAGGTCCTCTGCAAGAGTAGCAAGCACTCTTAACCTGAGTCATCCCTCCAACCCCTCAATATTTTCACCCCTTCTCAGTTGCTAGACTTGATTTTCCAGCATTTGTTGTACATCTTACTAGTTGATGGGCTTTCACTTTAGGGTTTACATTTCCTCCTTAAACAGCCAAAGCCCCTGAGCTAATTTCAATTGAATTTCTCCATTGTGTTATTAAGAAAACTAAAGTTGACAGAGGCCATATTAGCTTTGTGTGTGTGTGTGTGTGTGTGTGTGTGTGTGTGTGTGTGTGTGAGTGTGTGTGGCTGCTTTCATGAAATACCACAAGGCTAATGGCTTAAAACAATATAACCTTATTATCTTACAGTTATGGAGGCCAGAAGTTTGAAATGGGTCTCTTTGGACTGAAATCTAGTGAAGGTGGAATTGATCTTTTGAGGGGAGGTGGGGATGTCTTGGGGTTTTTTAGAGGAATCAGGCGTGTGTGTGTGTGTTGTTGTTGTTGTTGTTGTATGTGTGTTGGCTTAGAGTGATTGGAAGATAGGCAGCCCAGCCATGGCTGTTGAATGCTAGAGAGCCAGAGAACAGGAAGCTTCTCAGTATGAGAAGACTAGACTGGAAAATTCAGAGCAAGTGGGACCTGTGGTGCAGCCCTAGCCCAAGGCTGCCTGGAGAAGTGCTACCCTGAGCTTGTTTTGATTGGCTGAGGAAACTGGAGCCTGATACTCACATATGATGAGAGCACTGATAGACGCACCCAGGAAGCACAGATATTGCATCCACAGTTTCTCCTTTTTTTTTTTTTTTTTTTTTTTTTTTTTTTTTTTTTTTTTTTTTTTTTGTCTATTGTATCATCCGGGCCCTGAAGCCTCAGTCTACTGAAGGGTGCTACACACACTCAGGATGAGACTTCCCTCAACAGCTGCTCTCACTGGTGGCCATCTTCTCCTTAATGACCTCACAGACACACCGGGGAAGTGGACTTTTCTGATGCCCTTAGAATCGCTCAATCTAGCCAGGTTGACAATCAAGATTAATTATTGCAGGGACTGGAGGTGGCTCAGCCATTAAGAACACTTGCTGATGACTCACGCCTTTAATTCCAGCACCCAGGAGGCAGAGGCAGGTGGGTCTCTGAGTTTGAGGCCAGCCTGGATGACACAGTGAGTTCTAGGACAGCCACAGCAAGTTCCAGGACAGATGGAGAAACCCTGTTTTGAAAAACAAAACAACAAAACAAACAAACAGAAAATAAAGAATACTTGCTGATTTTGTAGAGGACTTGGGTTCAGTTTTCAGTACCCACATCCATCTGTAACTCTAGTTCCAGGGGATTCAGACACCCTCTTGTGGCCTCCAAGCATGTACATTGCACATCGGCACACACACACACACACACACACACACACACACACACACACACACATATGTGATGGAGGAGGTCCTTCTGTGTATATGATTGTCTTATTAGCCATGAAGTGGCAGCATAGCCTTTAAGCCTTTAATCCCAGCACTTGGGAGGCAGAGGCAGTCGGATCACTGAGTTCAAAGACAGCTTGGTCTACAAAGTGAGTTCCAGGATGGCCAGGACTACATAGAGAAACCCTGTCTCAAATAGATAGGTAGGTAAGTAGGTAGACAGACAGACACACAGGCAGGCAGGCAGGCAGGCAGGCAGACAGACAGACAGACAGACAGACAGACAGACAGACAGATCTTTTAAAAAAGAAGATACACTATCACAGGCAGGCATGTAGAAAATTTTCTTCACCTTTTCTAGGTTTTAGAGTCCACTTGTATTCCTTGGCTCATTCCTTCTTCCATCTTCAAAGCCTCAATAACAGGTCTTCTCACATAGGCTCACTCTGATATTTCTTCCATTGTAACAGTTTCTTCTCTGACTCGGGTCTCTTATACCACACCACCCTTCTTTTGAGACATCGTTTTCCTATATAGCCTAAGCTACTCTCAAAACTTTCATTACTCTTGCCTTAGCGTTCTGGGTTCTAGTTTTACGTGTGTGTCACCATAGTTAAATTCCACTCCTTGTCAAGGACTCTGACTGTGTTGGGTCTAGGAGATAACCAGGAACAATCTCCCTTTGTTAAAGTAGTCAATCAACTATCTTAATCCCAACCATAATTTGCCTTTGCTGTGGAACCTAATACACTCATAGATGCCAGGGGTCAGAGCAGGGTATCATTGACAGGGGAAGGGGTGGGGGACACGGACAGACGGACGGATGGACCCTCGGGAGGGACAGGGTAATTTATTCTGGCATCACAGTGAATTAGTAGCAGAGCCAGGGGAGCATGGGTCAGGCAGTTCCTCTAGCATACATACACATACACAGTTTGCTTCCAGCATATATACACATACATACATACACAAGTATGTGTGTGTATGTGTAGGGGGGAGGTCATGTGTCTTAGAATGGTCTCAAACTTGATAGGGCTTGATGACTTTGAACTTCTGGTCCTTCTATCTTCATCTCCTCAGTTCTGGGTTACAGACACAAACCACCATACCAATTTTATGTAGTGATGGCGATCAAACACAGGACTTCATGCAAGCTAGCCACATGCTCTACCAATTGAGCTACATAATAACCTATTTTATTTTATTCTTTATTTTTTTTTAATTCTTAGAATTTTTACATATATGGGCATTTTGTTTGTATTGTGTCTGTGTATTATGTGTGTGCCTGGTGCAGAGGCCAGAAGAGTGTGTCAGATCCCCTGGAACTAGACAGTTATGAGCAGTCATGTAGGTGCTGGGAATTGAACCCAGGTTCTCTGGAAGAACAGCCAGTGCTCTTAACTTCTGAGTCATCTTTCCAGCTCCATGTTATTCTATTTTCTGAGACACGATCTTACTCTTTATCTTAGACTGGGTAGGTTGTTTATGTAGCCTAAAACTTGTAGCAATCCTCCCGCCTCTGCCTCCAAGAGGCAAACCACTATGCCCAAATACAGCACATATTTTTACATCCCCATTCTGTGCTTCCTGTACATATGACTATGAAATGGTGTTTGAGTAACTTACTAATAATTTATTATCATTATGGCTTACACAAGACACCCCCTAGTTTCCCTCTACCCTTCATTTCACAAGCTATCATAAAATTCTCTATTACAATTTGGCTTCTCTTCAATATGCTGCTGAATCTAGAGTCTGAGGCCAGTTGGCTTGACTTCAGACCCCAGAAAAACTATTCATTTGCAGTATGGTTTGGGGATTCTTTTAAAGACAGGATCTTCTATGTAGCTCTGGCTGGCCGGGAGCACTCTATGTAGAGCAGATTGGCCTCCAGATCTCCTGCTCTGTTTCCTGAGAGATGAGACTAAAGGTCTATGTCACCACACTTGGCTTGGGTAAGTTATTGAAGGTCCTTGTGCTTCTGTTCCCATAGCTGTGATGTGAGGAAAATAAATAGTATATTATAAAGATGAAAAGTCATTGTAATAGAATCGAATAACCATACCTACCCAGATTGTTGCTCTTTCTCTCTGTCTCTCTGTGTCTCTATCTCTTTTTCTCTATTTTTCCCTTCTTCCCTTCTCTCTCCCATCCTTCCTGCTTTACTCTCATTTCTTTCTTGGGTTTTTGGAGCCAGGGTATCACTGTGTAGCCCTGCTTGCCCTGGAACTTGCTGAGTCCATGCTGGACTAAAACTTGGGGCAATTCTTACGTGTTTGGATCCCAAGCATGAGCCACTGTTGTGCCCAGACCAATTTGCCCTCCTCCCGCCCCCGCCACATTTTGGGTGTAGTTCTTGGTGTCGAGAAAAATGCCCCCAAATTCTGGTTTCCACATGCGCCTGTGGAGCTCAGCCTGGGACCAGTCTTCCATAGGTGGGCCAGGCCAAGTACAGATAAAGGGAACAGAATTTGCAAACGTGATCTTTAGCGCTTAGGCTATGATGACCCTGCAAAGGGGAAGCTGCTCAATGAGGCCCCATTCAGGTCCCTGTAGCCCACTCTGAAGGTCATGTCCCCAGTTTCACAATTCAATCTAGGCTATAGTGAAACCACCAAACTAGACCACTCCATGTGTAGAAAAAGTTTATTTGAGTAATCAAACTCCTGGAACAATGGGTAGCTGGAAGAGCCTGTCACCTTGTCAGTTTTATGGGGACGGGAAGCAGCAGAAGGAGAGGAGCAGCTAGGATGGCCTCGGAGTTAGTGCTGGCTGCTCAGGTTAATAGGGAACTAGAGGCTTTTGCCTGAGGTAGCTGACATTTGCGGC